ATTGGAATAGCCCATTTGAGTTTCCTTTTTTGTAAATCATGATCAACAACGACAACATCGCCATCATTAATAGATTCATTTTTTGCTCCAATAAGCTTGAGTAAGTCGAATTCTATAAAAAACAATTGATACAATCATGAACAATACGTTAGAAAAGCTGGCTTGTTTACGTCGCGTTCGCGCCATATTTCCTGTAGACCATTGAACTAAAAATAAGTAGTAAATAGTTATTTTTTGTTCAATGCTGTAGAGTCCTCTTTTCCCGCGATTGGCGACAACAAAAGCAAGATTACCCCATTTTCAAACAACGATTGGCAGATTGCATTTATTTTCCGCACGGGGGAAGGGGGGGAGTTGAGGACATCTTTTTACCCGATTAATTGTGACCCCCTGGAATTCAGTTTATATACCCTTCCCCCTCTCTGGATTTCCTAGGAACATTGCCATTGTCGGCTTTAATTGCAGACGATCCACTGGATTTTGGTCTCTAATCACACCACCACTCGGATTTCTGCAGTCTTTTTCGCCCCTCCCTCTGGATTTACCAAGGCATTTTCAATCTCGTTCCCCGAGTCTGCGATCATCGGGAAGGAACGTGAGGCCCTGGGATAATCCGTTTCACGGAGTAATTTGATTGGTTGTTGCTAGTTTCCACTCAGGAAAATTATCCGTGGATTGTAACGGACAAGAAATTTTTCTTTGTGTTAATTAAAGTCATTAGTTCCAACCCGGAACTCACAAGATAAAGAAAAATTTTCTTGTCCGTTCCAATCCACGGACAATTTTCCTGAGTAGAAACCAGCCTTAAGCCAGGATTCCTGGCTTTCAGGAACGGATTATCGTAGAGTCTCACGTTTCTTCCCGAGGATCGCAGGCTCAGGAAACGAGATTGAGGTCTTGTTTACACCCCTCCCCTGGATTTTTCATTGTCTTCAACTCCTCCCCCCCGTGCGGAAAATAAATGCAATCTGCCATTACTCGTCTGTTTCAGTAGTCTAGGACCTGTATATGAGTTTGTATGAATTTCATTTAGGACAGATAATCTCGACTGTTCTAGGGCAAGTTGACCATGACGGTAAACATGGTAACGCTGCCCGAACCCCAATCCGGGGCGAAACGTCCGAAACTGACCACACCCAAAAACGACGCTTACGCCATACTGCTATCTACCAAACCATAAAAGCTTTGGCTATTCTGAGGTGCTTATATGGTTCGGAGATGGTACTTTTGGGGGTGGTCATTGGTAAGTGTGAAATACCTAGCACTAATATTTCACAAAAAAATGACCATGCAATAATCATAGTAAACGTCAATTTGTTGCTTGTAACTTCGGATAAACAGCAGTGGATTTACATTACTTTTTTCCCTAAATCTTTTTAATAGAAACATAACTGGCTTGGTGTAAAATAGTTAATATTTTCTGACCGAATTAATAATTTGAAATGTGCCTACCTCCTGCAAATGGACGTATTTGGCCAAGTTCTCCACTTTACTCCGCTGTTTATCGGCGATCTCGTCGACATCCTTCCGCCAAAAATGTATGTCATCTCAGACATAATGGTATCAAGAACATTTTAAACAAGTTTCAACTTGGTTTCAAGTAGATCATAGCTTTTTCACCATCGACAAGGTAAATCCACAACTTTGTCAAAATTCGGCGCCATTTTGTCATCCCGTGTCGGTTGTCAACAATTCGGCCTTGTTACTCTTCCATCCAATCCATTTCCATTCCACTAATAACAAATTTAACCCTTTATAACGGTAGGAAACTAAAAAATCTAAACAAAATATAAGAAGTGCGGCATTTTATCACCCTGTAAAATGTTGCTCACGACAGGGGCGGATCTAGGATTTTTTGCACGTTAGTCAAAAATCTATGACGTCATCGATGACGCAAAACGTGATGACGTCATTTGCCATGACGTCATTCGATGTCATGATGATAGTCCAATTTTCGTGGGAGTATAGATATTTTATTCTATCAAACTACAAATGCGCAAATGACATAATTTTCGTACCTGC